TCCATGTTCCCGGCTCCGGACCGTCTGCGGGTTTCGGGGTCGGGGCGGGGTTTAGTTGCGGCAGAGACTCGGGCGGTTTTCGGGGGCTGCCCCGTTCGGGTTGGGGACGGAGGTTTGAGCCTGTGCCTCCTGCCAAGGCTTCTGGGTCTTACCAGCGGCCCTTTCTTGTTGCCTTTCCCATGGACTCTTGCTTTTCTTTAAGGGCGGAGGGCTTGGAGGACGGCTCTGCCCCGGGGCCTCTGTTGTTGGTTCCCGGGGCTGTGGGGGTTGCCTGCTAGCAGTTCTGGGGCGGTTTTGCCCCTTCCGGGGTTTTTCTGCTGTTGGGCGACGTTTTTCGCCCATCCAGTCTGCTAGCTTCCCACATTTGCTGGCGTGTTTTTGTGTATTTAGCGTCAGTCACAGCCCCTGCTGGCGGCCATTTTCGTCTGCCGGTTTCACGGCGTGGCCACCAGGGCGGCGTTGCGGTTTGTTTACATGCGTCTGGGTGTGCGAGCGAGCGTCTCTGGTGAGTTTTCAAATTTTTGTCAGGGTTTTTGTTCTCCTGTTGTCGTTTCTTTGTTTTTCTGGTGTTTTCTTGCCGTTGCCTGTTCCTCTGGGAACGTTTGGGTGTTGATTTTGGGTCTGAGCCTGTGGGTTTAGGCTCAGTGCCCCTGGCTGGTATGCTTGCTCCCACACCTTGCCCCTCGGTTTTCGGTCTGTTGGGACCGTTTTCCCAGGGCGTTCTGCTGGGGGCTGTGCTTTGCCTTTCAGTGGTGTTCTCCGCCGGCAAATGTGGTGGTTTGGGCTCCCCCTGGTTCGATTCTGGGTTCCTTTGGGTTCCTTGGTTTCGTTCTGGAGGTTTCTTCCTCTTGGGCCCCCTTTTGTGGGTTCAGGGGACTTTGTTTCCTCGTGTGACCCGGTTCTGCCTTTTGGGGTTCTGGGGTCTTCCTGGCTTGCAGATTGATCTTTTTGGGTCTTGGCGCATGTTGTGGTTGTGCTGGGACTTTGTGGTTTTGCTGTCGAGGTGGGCCTTTTGATGCAGTTTTGTGCCTTCTTTGCCTGGCCGGCGTAGTGCTCTTTGCCACTAGTCGGCGACTTATGCCTTTACAATATATGTCCTCACCTAGTTGTGCTTGTGGGGGTTGAGCTCTGGCTCCTTGGTCCTGCCTCTCAACCGTCTATCAACAGGTATTTGGGTTCCTGTGCCTCTTGGGCTCTGTCATGTCTACATGTGACATTGTATGGGGGTCAGCCTTGTTACTTGTGTGTGGAGTCACCACATTACTTCTTAGTGCTTTCTCGTTCCCGTTCTGACAAAAAAAAAAAAAAAAAAAAAAAAAAAAAAATTCTATCTGTGGCTCTTTTGGGTACTCAGTTTCCACCTGTGTCCCCTAGTGCGTGTACCCCTTGTGTTACATAGCCTGTCCTTATCAACCCTGTCGATTCCCTTGGGTATCTTGAATGTGGTGATCAGGTCTCCCCTCACTTCATCTTCCAGCGAAGTGTGGTTTCATTCCCGTAGTCTCTCCTCATGACTTCGGTAGTGTACTTTTCTTTCGGAAGGGGTTCTGTTCCCTTCTCTGTTGACTGGGCGCTGGGGGAGCAGCTTGCTCTGTTGCCTCTCGCTTGGTCCCGCTGTTGGTGGGCGCTTTGGGTTGTCTTCCGGCCTCTGCTGGCGTCGGAGGACGGCTTCTCCCCCTTGGGGGGGTTCAGAGCTGGCGGGGTGGGCTTCTTCCCCTGCGCTTCGTCATTTCCTCTTCGTGGGTGCGTGGGGCGTGGTCGATCCGCCCCATCCTTCTGGGCTTCCCGTCTGCTCTTTGCAGTCATGAGCTTTTCCCGTCTGCAGTTCTTCTGGACTTCTTCAGTCTGCGCCCTGGATCCTCTGCCCTCCTCGGAGGACTGTTGTCTCCTGTTCGGATTCTGTTAGGGCCGGGTGCATGGATGGTGGCCCTGGACCTCCAGGTCACTTCTTGGCACGTTCCTCTCCAGTTTTTCTGGGGCTAGCACGGTTGGTGGTGGGGCTTCAGGTTTTTATTGCCTTCCCTATTTTGTAATGGGCACTTCGTATACTCTTTGCATCTTTACCGGATCTTAGTGCCCTGTCTGAGTCTGAGATTCGGTGTCTGGCCTACCTCGACGACTGGCTGGTGTGGGCTCCCAGTCAGTCCGCTTGTCTGCTCGCCAGAGGATGGTTCTTTCCAGATCGCCGGGTTTGGTTTCCTGGTGATCTGGAGGTTTTTCCATCTGTTTCCGTCCCGGGTTCGGACCTGGGCCCCTCATTGTCTTCCCTCCAGAAGTGTTACTGCGGCTGTGGTCCCGCCTTTGGCTGTTCAGGAGGGGGTCCCGGGTTGCTCAGCGGTTGCTTGGGCGGTTGTGCGGGAGTCTGCACTTCGGCGTACTTGTCTGCCCGCGGAGTCGGGTTTGGCTACGGCGTCGGTTGGTTCCTGCGGAGACTCCCCTTCCGCCTCTTGCATTCCTTGGGTTCCTCCGGGGATCTTGTGTTGGTGCTGCGTCACCAGCTTCCTCTTTGGGGTTTTCGGGGTTCCGTGCCTTGGCACCTCCCCGAGCCTTCGCTTGATGTGTTCACGGACGGGTCGTCTCTCGGCTGGGGCTTTGTGACCAGTGCTCACCAGGTCGGCCGAGGTTGATGGAGTCTCTGTCCGTCGGGCTCACAGCACGGTTCGGGTGTTCATGGCTGTCTGGTTTGCGCTTCGGAGGGTTTGGGTCACTAGGTACTCTACCATTCAGCTCTGTTTGGACTGTTCTCTGGTGGTTCTTGCCGGAACCACGGGGGTTTGGCTAACCGTGTGGTTCGTGTCCGGGGTGTGTCCTGCGTCCTGGCGGACAGCTGTCTCGGTTCATTCCTCTTCGTGGGTTGGCCAGTCGTCGCCGATTCGTTTTGTTGGCTCTGTCGGGCATATGGACTCCTGGCCATGGACGTCTTCGGGTCGGCGTGGTCTAGGCGTCGCCCATTTTGTGGCGCCCTTCCCACCTGCGAGGACTTCACGGTGGAGGCTTTCGGCAGGACTGGTCGAGGTGGGGGGTACCTGTTCCTCTTCTCCCGGTCCAGCTGTTGCTTCGGGTTCTGGCTCGGTTGCAGCCCATTCCCACGAGAACAGTCCTTATGGTTCCTTGGTGGCCGGCCCGGCCTTCTTTTCAGACGCTGCTTGATAGGTGTCCGTACCCGGGGCGTTTTTCCTGAGGCTTCGCCTCTTTCAGCAGGCCGAATCGGTCCTGTCCGTGACTGGTTCGGCCTTCTCCTTGGCTCTTCGCGTCTGGTATTTTGACGCGGGTATCACCATCTCTATGGTGTTCAGGTGGCTTTGTTGACGGTGTCCCACCTGCGAGCTTCGTCTTGGAGACAGTATGACGTTTCTTACGTTTTCTCGTGTTTTGTTTCCCCTCCGGCCTGCTCATGCGTCGCCTGAGCCATCCTGGTCCTTGTTCAGGGTGCCTTCTTATCTTCCCCTCAGTTTGTGGTAGCCCCTTCGGTTCAGTTTCCTGCTCTTTGGTACTGGTGGTAGCTTTATAGGTGTGCAGCCTTTCTCTGTCCTGGCGCCGGTCGTGACGGCTGCTTTCCGGAGGGGTTCTTGGGGTATTGGTGCTTGATTGGTTTGGCCGGGGGGTGCGTCCTGTGTTGTCCGGTTGTGCTTTTTGCTGTTGCCGGCGTACCGTGTCTGGGGATGCGCTGTGGTTGATCCGGTTCCTTCGTTCCCTGTTTTCAGGGCTCGGGTCTCCCAGGTCGTCCGCAGTGTTTTCCTTCTTCCAGCCTGCGGTCTGTCTTTGCGCCCGTGCTGTTCAGACGTTTGCAGCTTTTGCTGCTGTGTTGGTGACGTCTCGGGCTCATTTCGGGCGCAGGGATTTGTGGGTAGCACGGGTTTTTGGCCGCCCATCCATATGTGCGTCTGTTCTTGGGCGTTCTTGTTGCCTTGGGTCGCAGGTTTGCGACCGGTTGTCTTGGCTTTGCGTTGCAGAGTTTGTGGCGGCCGCCTCCCGGGTTAGCCCTTTCTTTTCCTTCTCTTTGGGTATGAAGCTCCAGGGAGCCGTAGGGGCTCCCCACAGAAAACCAGCGTTGAATGTAATGAAACGCCATTTTCTGGGTGAGCCCCGGAGGCTCCCTGGAAACCCTCCCTCCCACCGGTCGGCGGTTTTTTCGCGTTGGTTGAAGCTTAGCTTCCGAACTGGAGCTTGGCAGCCGGCGCGGTAGGTCCGGGGCTCCCCCCTCCCCCTCCCGGGGTGGGGAGGGCTGCGCGGACGATCGGCGCGGCAGTAAAGTGTGATGTTTGCTTGTTTGCTAGTTTCCTTGGGATTGTAGGGAGTTTTCTACCTCTCTGTTCGGTTTTTGTTGTAGTTTCTTACCATGTGGGGTTTGTTTTGTTACGCCTACCTTTCTGGGTGCCTAACCCCGGTCGATGGCAGATAAGGAAAACCCCCAACCATATGGGGTTTTCCAGGGCCATTGCTTCCTGAAACCTCTCTGAAGGGGCCAGGTTCTGGCGCTGGTCCCTGGTAGGTCTGAACTCCTTAGCTAATGTCCCGGTCTAACATAACATACATTAGCCCGATAAGCTCCAGGGAGCCTCCGGGGCTTACCCAGAAAATGGCGTTTCATTACATTCAACGCTGGTTTTTTTTCAGTGACCATTTGTGTTCACTGAACACAGTTTAGGTCCATCATATCTTTTCACATTACACAGTCATTTGTAATTCATTAAATATTGTTTTTTATTTTCTTGCATTGCCTTTCTATGCTTGCAGTCATGATACACCTGGCATTAGTTTTCAGTTGATGTCTTACAATAATGATAACCAAAGCAAATTAGCAGAATTGTAACTTATGAATTTGTAAATATTATCTCTGCTTTTATATAGAAAGAACCATATCAGTGGCCAGGGTTCCCACTCAAAAATACAGGATAGATTTTAATTTTTAAAAATTATTTTAGGATAGATATCTTGTTCTTTCCCCTAGCTATGTATGCATTGATAACACTAGAAAACTCTCTTTTAACCTTTGACAGAGGCAATCCAGATGGACTGGTGATTAGTCACCTGCCCAATGGTCCAACTGCATATTTCACCCTTGCCGATGTTGTGATGCGTCATGACATTCCAAACATAGGAACCATGTCTGAGCAGTACCCACACCTCATATTTCACAACTTTAAGACTCAACTGGGAACTCGGGTAAGGCATTTATTTAAAGATTTGAAGTGATAATACTGATGTGTATCCTTAGCCCATCCTCTCATTGTTACAATAGACTAAAAAGATGTACTGTACCAAATTGCCCAAACCAAACCTGATCTGACCTGACCGATAGACCAGTGCATAGAAAACAGTTGCTTGGGAGTTGCAATGATTTATATACATCATATTTTGTCAGTTGGGGGGGATTTTGATGTCAATGCAGTGTATTATTCAAGAGGAGAGGTTGTGTCCTTTATAGGAATAATATTAAATTCAAAGGATTCTGTGCCATTTGAAATATACTGTAAGAGCTAACTAATTTGGATCTTGATAACCCTAATCTCTGAATAATTTGGACCCAAATCAAGTTTTCGTATAACTTGATTTGGATAGAAATCCAAATTGCTGGGCTTTGTAGATGTGTTACTGAACAACCCACAGCAGCCTTTGTTTCTTCAGGTGAACTTCACTTAATGAATATTTACATCACGAATATTTGCAGTAATGTATACTTTAAAAAATTTTTATCTCTAAAACATATAATTAAAACACGTCTTTTAATAGGTAGCATATTGTTTATCCATAAAATTAATTGCCCCACTTTGTATCCATGACCTTCTCCCACTTAGTTTCCTTCATTCCACCATCGCTGCTATTATTACTGTCTTATTAACTGTGAGCTTATGTCTGCTCCAGTCAGTAATAGTCTGTGGTGGGAGTGGACGAGAGTGTTGGGAGTGGGCGAGGGTGTCTGGAGTGAGCGAGGGTCTTGGGAGTGGGCGAGGGTGTCTGGAGTGGGCGAGGGTGTCTGGAGTGAGCGAGGGTGTCTGGAGTGAGCGAGGGTCTTGGGAGTGGGCGAGGGTATCTGGAGTGAGCGAGGGTCTTGGGAGTGGGCGAGGGTGTCTGGAGTGAGCGAGGGTGTCTGGAGTGAGCGAGGGTCTTGGGAGTGGGCGAGGGTATCTGGAGTGGACGAGTGTTGGGAGTGGGCGAGGGTGTCTGGAGTGAGCGAGGGTGTCTGGAGTGAGCGAGGGTCTTGGGAGTGGGCGAGGGTATCTGGAGTGAGCGAGGGTGTCTGGAGTGAGCGAGGGTCTTGGGAGTGGGCGAGGGTGTCTGGAGTGAGCGAGGGTCTTGGGAGTGGGCGAGGGTGTCTGGAGTGAGCGAGGGTCTTGGGAGTGGGCGAGGGTGTCTGGAGTGAGCGAGGATCTTGGGAGTGGGCGAGGGTATCTGGAGTGAGCGAGGGTGTCTGGAGTGAGCGAGGGTCTTGGGAGTGGGTGGAGGGTATCTGGAGTGAGCGAGGGTCTTGGGAGTGGGCGAGGGTATCTGGAGTGAGCGAGGGTGTCTGGAGTGAGCGAGGGTCTTGGGAGTGGGCGAGGGTATCTGGAGTGAGCGAGGGTCTTGGGAGTGGGCGAGGGTGTCTGGAGTGAGCGAGGGTCTTGGGAGTGGGCGAGGGTGTCTGGAGTGAGCGAGGGTCTTGGGAGTGGGCGAGGGTGTCTGGAGTGAGCGAGGATCTTGGGAGTGGGCGAGGGTATCTGGAGTGAGCGAGGGTGTCTGGAGTGAGCGAGGGTCTTGGGAGTGGGTGGAGGGTATCTGGAGTGAGCGAGGGTCTTGGGAGTGGGCGAGGGTATCTGGAGTGAGCGAGGGTCTTGGGAGTGGGCGAGGGTGTCTGGAGTGAGCGAGGGTCTTGGGAGTGGGCGAGGGTGTCTGGAGTGAGCGAGGGTCTTGGGAGTGGGCGAGGGTGTCTGGAGAAAATAGCCACCAGAATGGTAAATTGAAACAAAATAGATGACAGCAAGGCAAATTTAAACAACTCGGATAATGAGCCACCCAATAGTTAGGTCGTTTACCATCTAGTCGCAGGTATCCACCACCAAGTGGTAGCACCAGGGACTCGGGGATCAAATTCTTAGGGGTAAGTTATGAGGGATTAATGAGAACATTTAATTGTCTGCAACATAACTTTTGAGAACTTATAGCAACTATATTACTCTTAATACAGTTGCTACATATACTTTTCTTAATCAGCTGTGATCAAAATATAGGTTGCATAAAAGTTTTGCCACTTCTTGTATATATCTTAATGTTTTCTTTAATTTCAGACCCAGAACATTCTCAAGTATCTGTTCCCAGTTCCTAAAGATGACAGCCAACGAGTTGTATCATTCACTAACTGGGATGACTGGATCCTCTTCAGACAACACACATATAAGAAGGTTGATGGTGGGAAAGACTATGCCCTCAACGAGATAGGCCCACGCTTCAGCATGAAATGTTAGTTTAACACGTCATCCCCCTATGTTTGGGTGTTTATTTGGATATACTGTGTGGTCACTGTGCCTACAGATGAGAGCTGGTTTTTCCTTGGCAGTCTACTCAGTCAACCCGTCCTCCTAATAGAACATCGCATCTTGATGTATACTCTACCTAAGGCTAAAAATTATTGTACTAGAAAACGGTAGCGGCTTGCAAAATTGATATTGACACACTGCCTTCTGCTCTGACAGTCACATGTATGACTAGTTAATTCATGCCCAAAATGTTTCATGATCTTCTAGACTATTCACATTAAGTATCTCTTGGTATTGCCATGGCTTTGGTTTTATTATTGATGATGACTGTTCCCCACCAGAGTTCTTCATTTTGGGGGTCAATTCCTCCTTTGGAAATATACTCTCGAGTAGACCCTGTTCTGGGTAATGATTTGAAAATTTGGCCTTGGCGCTGATATAGTTGGTAATTACCTAAGTGTAGTTACAGGATGAGAGCTATGCTTGTCGTGTCCCATCTTCCCAGTACTCTTTGTCGTATAAGACTTTGAAACTACTGACTGTTTGGGCCTCCACCACCTTCCCACTTAGCTTGCTCTAACTGTCTGTCTACCACTCGTGTCTGCAGAAGAAAACTTTTTAATATTTATTTCGGCACCTTTGTTACCTTAGCTTGAATTAGTGTCATCTTGTTTGTGAAGTTGCTAGATTCAGGAATTCCTCTTGGTGAATTTAGTCAATTCCTGTTAGTATTCTGTAAGTGGTGATCATATCACATCATTTTCATCGATTTTCTAGTTTTGGTATGTTTAATGCCTCTAGTTTCTTCTCATAACTCTTGTTTTATGTGGAGAGCCCCTTCGGCTCCCTGGAGCTATATCGGTCTGATATGCATATATATATATATTAGACCGTGGCATCGGTCAATTCAATTGGAGTTCTTAGCTTACCGGAGACCACGAGCCAGAACCTGGCCCCCCTCAGAGAGGCACGAGGAGCAATGGCCTATAGAAACCCCCATATGGTTGGAAGCATTCTATGTCTGCCATCTACCGGGTTAGGCACCCAGAAAGGTAGGCGTCCCAGAACAAACTACAGCTTGTTAAAAATTGCGACCGAAAGCTCAACTAGCAAGCAGAACTCCCCATACCGAAAATAAGCAAACGAGCATGACGTCACCATTCCCGCTGCGCCGCTATCTGAGCAGCTCCCCCTGCCTGGGAGGGGAAGGGGGAGTCCCAGGCCCCCCGTGCCAGCTATCAAACCTCAGTTCTGAGGCTGATGTGTTGAGTGGCGGTCGTTCGACTCTGGCTCCAATCTTCGAGCAGTGCTGTGCCTTGTGGTGTGGTGGTGTGTGAGCCAGGTGTTATTCAAGAAGTACTGGGGCTGCATGCATTTAGGGTCACCTTCCATAGGTGCCCTGTAAGTACTACCCTTGTGTTTTGGGGTTACCTTCCACAAACTGTTCGGGAACTACCTCCACAGGGAACTTTTGCTGCTCGGTGATTGCCCGCTCTTGGTGTCAGCTGGGGCTTTCTTGCCACTGTTTGACCTTGGGTAGGAGGTAGTATTGTTGCTGGCAGGGGTGCAAGGTACTATGCAGCCGTCTTATAATACTGTACTCATAACCAGTTCTGTCCCTCCTGGAGACATACTTTTGCGGGGTTTTTCTTTTTCTTTTGTTTTGTTTGCCTGATGGGGCTACAGGACCACTTGTATTATTTTGGTGGCCTTCCTTTAGGCCCCCGGGATTGTACACCTCACAGGGGTTCACCTTTTGTTTGGTAGTTCTGGGATAACTGGTTAGCAGTACCTTGCTTGGGCTTCCCTGAGCAGTCAGCCTAAGGGCCCTGGAAAACCCCATTGGGGCTCATTGGTTCAATGGATGCGTCTTCTGAGTCTCATCTCGCTTCGTGTGAGTTTGAAGGTTGCTCTGTCCCCATATCTCAGGGTGACACTCGTCGTTTTTGCCTCCACCATGCTGCCTGTTGGGTCAATGACATCTTTGACCCAGTGTCATACGAGTGGTATTCCTTACTTGTACTCCAGTACCCCTAGTCCACTGATCCTGATATTTGGATCTTCTTGAGATGATTTCGGGGCATAGTGTCCCCGCGGCCCAGTCCTCGACCAGGCCTCCACCCCCAGGAAGCTGCCCGTGGCAGCTGACTAACTCCCAGGTACCTATTTACTGCTAGGTAACAGGGGCATCAGGGTGAAAGAAACTCTGCCCATTGTTTCTCGCTAGCACCCGGGATCGAACCCGGGACCACAGGATCACGCATCCAGTGTTCTGCCCGCTCAGCCACCGGCTTCCCTGGATGGATGCAGACATCCTCAGCACATGAGAGGTTTAGGTTGGTTGCCTTTTCGGATGCCCCACTTTGGTTATAGGGACCCAGACTTGGGGGGGGGGTGTTAGTCACCTCAACTTGGGGGGGGGGGTGTTAGTCGCCTCAACTTGGGGGGGGGGTGTTAGTTGCCTCGACTTTCGTTTCATTCATGCCCCCATGTCCTTCCCCTGCTGTGGTTCATCCTGCTCCTCCCCCCCTCCCCCTCCCTACTCCTAGCCCTCAAACATCTGAGGGTTTCAAAGTCGGGGGCAGGGCTTTCTTGGTGTTGAGATTCGGGCAGTTTCGGGGATTGCCCCTTCCAGATAGGCAGTGGGGGCATTCTAGCCTGTTTCTCCTGCCGGGGCTTCAGGGTCATGCCAGCAGACCCTCCTTCTTCCCTGTTTTTCCGGTTGACTCTGCCTTTTCTCCAGAGGCAGAGGGTTTGGAGGACAACTCTGCCCCGGGTCCTGACTTGGAGGATCCCGGGGATGGAGTGAAGCTGACTTGGATGGCTTGAGCCCCATTTGATCCCGCTTGGGTGTTGGTACCCTCGGCGCAGGGCTTGTTGTTACAGGGCGAGGGGATTTCCTATCACCCCTCCCTGTATTGCCTAGGGAAGTGCAGGAGGTCATTGCGACTTACCTCCTGCGACACCCGGATTACACCTCGATAATGGTTCCTTCTTCTTTCGAGTTTGCTCCTCTTTTCCTTACTGGAGGTGCCGGAGTCTTCCTGGCTGGCAGACTGCCCTTTTGTTGGGGGTGTGGTATGTGTTCTATCTGACCCGTATGCTTGAGTGGCGAGAGTTGACTACAGTCGTTCAGGTTTACCTGGGGGGGGGGGCGAGTTGGACCACCTCAATGCATGCTTGTTTGCTGTTGTGCTTCCTCGCGATGTTGGCCAGGTGCAACTTCATGTGCAGGTTCCTTCCTTTTCGGCAAGCCTGGTGTCTGAGGATTTGCGCCCACGTGAACATTTGGCTTCAGTCTTGTGTTTCTTTTCCCTGCTGGAGCTGTCTTCGAACTGGATCAAGGAAGATGTGGAGGAGCTGGGTTCCAGGCCAGTGTCCGGTGCGCTTGCCTCGGCAGCTCGGGCGTCGGCTGCCATGTTGAAGTTGTTTGCACCAATTCTGAGGGAAGCAGTCTCCGTTTTTTGCTTCTCGCCTTGCGTGCAGACAGGCGGTACTCGTCCACTCTTTGGAATCTGCTTTGGTCCTGGCTCTTAGATTTTTGTCCCCTTTTTGTCCGTTGCAATTTGTAGAGTCTGCAGTGGTGCATTTTCTGCAAGCAGCTTCGTTTAGTTGCCAGCCTGCAGAAACCACCTGATGACCAGTGCTCACCAGGCCGGCCAGGGTCGGTGGGGTCTGTCCTTCTGTCGGGCTCACAGCACGGTGTGGGGAGTTCAATTGGAGTTAGGGCTTCGGTTCGGGGGCCTGACAGCTGAGTGGACAGTGCTTCGGATTCGTAGTCCTGAGGTTCCAGGTTTGATCCCGGTGGAGGCGAAAACAATATGCGTAGTTTCTTTCACCCTTATACCCCTGTTCACTTTTCAGTAAATAGGTACCTGGCAGCTGGGAATTTGCTGAATTCTTCCCTAGAATTTGGGGAGCTATTTGGGGACAATTCTGCAGTTTTAACTACTGCATTTTCTAATGTTTTGGACTGATATCTGGGCTCAGGTATTTTAGATGTCTAACAGTGACCTGGTGGTTAGTTGCTTGATCAGTGTGTGTGGTCACCATTGGACTGGTGTTTGTTGACATGGGAAGCTGGCTGCCGCCTGGTGTTGGCCAGATGTTATTAGTGAGGGTAAGATCTAAGTACTGGGTGAACCACTTTCTAGTTTGCTGCATTGTTTGTTTACTTTCGGCGAACCTAGCAGTTGTCTGTTCTCTTTTGTTTTCTTTGTGGGGATGGTGAGGAATTCCCTGCTCCCTGCAACTCTATGAGTGGGATCCAAGTTTTGGCCTCTGGTTTCTGTGGACTATTTAAGGATGTGCAAGGGCTGATATGACTAATAGGTGTGTGGAGCTATCTCAGTTTCCATGATAATCTGTGTTATTCCATTCTAGAATTATGGTACAGTACTTAATAATTCAACTGTGCACTTTAAAACCTGGTATAAAAAGCAGCATGACTGTGAACCCGTGTAATCTGATACTGCACAAATTGCTGGCTGCCTATTTGCCTAATTATTTATTGTATAACACTTTTACACATGTCACAATGAGCAAAACAACACATAGTACTGTGCCTTATTTTTCTTGCCATTTTATAACTAGGGTTATCGTAAAGAGTATGTGTATGGACGAGGCATTCTTAACAGGTGTGGAAGTACTGGTAGTTGACAGGTCTGGAGGTACTGGTAGTCGACATGACAGGTCTGGAGGTACTGGTAGTCGACATGACAGGTTTGGAGGTACTGGTAGTCGACATGACAGGTCTGGAGGTACTGGTAGTCGACATGACAGGTTTGGAGGTACTGGTAGTCGACATGACAGGTCTGGAGGTACTGGTAGTCGACATGACAGGTCTGGAGGTACTGGTAGTCGACATGACAGGTCTGGAGGTACTGGTAGTCGACATGACAGGTCTGGAGGTACTGGTAGTCGACATGACAGGTCTGGAGGTACTGGTAGTCGACATGACAGGTTTGGAGGCACTGGTAGTCGACATGACAGGTCTGGAGGTACTGGTAGTCGACATGACAGGTTTGGAGGCACTGGTAGTTGGCATAATAATCTGTGGTTGACAGATGGTAAAAAGCACACCTGCTTCAGGAGCTAGTTTTGAAAGCCTGAGTGTCTGATTAACATCACAGTATAGTATTTGACAATTATTTTCTATGCCCTTAAAAAAAAAAGGTTGAATACTATCAAAGTGAACTACAATTTTAATATACAGTAGCTGAATTTAAATATTGGAGTGAGAGGGTTAAGATGATGAGACTAAAAATTGGTATAATTTGAAGCGATGTTTAAATGCCTTATGTTAGTGTCCTAGAGTATTTAGAACCTAATACATGTGGTTATGTTTATTGCAGTATATCGCATTATTATGGGTACAATGGACCAGGATCGGGCAGCAGATACTGAATTTGTTCTTCGACCGTACATGAACACAGCAAAAAAACGAAGATTCTTGTCAGATGTTGATCCATGGTAAAAGCAAGAGTGGTTATATTAAGTACTCCATGTATTAAGTTTCTGGAATGTGGCTGTTAATTAATACCATACAGCAAAATTGTTTATAAATTTGTTTTAATTACCCTTAAACTTGTATTACTGTAAATACTGTGTAAGTGTTAACATGTTAAATTATTTAACTGTCATCATATTTTATCTGCTTACAATTTTATGATAAGACCTATAGTACAGGTGTGCCTTCAGTACACTGTATGTGTCTTCAGTGTGTTAAACAATAATACAGATACCATAAAGTCACTCATTTTATTGGTTCACAGGAACACCACCATAGTCATGTAATAGTAAGGTATTAAATGAGAGTACAGGTATATGCAAAACTAAGTTAGGGGAAAACCTGAAAGGAAAGGAAGATCGGTTAAAAGAAACTAGATAATGTTTTTATTATCCTCGAGGAAAGGCAGACGTTGTCGAGGCCCAGTACTTGAGGAGCTAACTTTTCTTATACTGTATTTAAATGCTGCTGTACTAAATTATTGGAAATGGTGTGAAAGGTGAATATGAAACCCGTGTGAGGTCATTGACTGAATGTGACAATATATATATATATAAATTAGCAGATTTAGGGAAAATTAATAAAACACTATAGATAGAAAACAAAAATAGTTTTAAATACCTTTCTTTGGTACAGTACTTCTAATTCTAGTTGAAATATTCTAAAATATTACCCAAATCTTAGGTATGATCTGAGTTTAAACCTAAAGTATAAACATTGCCTTTAATCTGACTGTTCTTCACACACTCTTGAATACTAGTCTCCGACCACTTGCACTGGAAGTGGAAGTGACAGTCTCACTTCCTACAAGTCTACTTTCAGTTCCCGACTGTCGAAGTGCTATGGCAACATTTCCGTCTTTCACCTTATCCTAAATCCTTATCCTTATCCTTTCCAAGTCTTATGTAATTGTAATGGCTTAGTGCTTTCTCTTGAAAATTACTTGCCTTACTGTTTCAGAGATCTGTAATTTATTGGAGGATGTTACATAAATACAGTAGACTTTGGGCTTTAAGAATGGAAGGTTAAGTAATTGGTGCACATTCCTTCAGACAATCAGGCAAGATCTGAACATCTGAAAATTCTCACCATTAACACAGGAAAGATCTTGCATATATAATAATTATCACAAAGTGCTAAGATATATCCTCAGTATATCCATCTCAAGCTCATTTTCAGTTATTATGAATTTATACAAAGGGACTTTCTTAAGTCAAAATTTTATGATAACATTTGAAATATTGACAGGGAGGAATGTTTGTAGAGTAGTTGTATGTTTGCTGTGTATGAAAGGAAGACCGGTAAGAGTGAATGTGGACAAACAGTATTGGAGGTTGAGTGAACAAAATGGGAAAAAATGGAACTCCTAGAAATGATTCAGAAGTTTAAACATCTGGATGTTGTAATTGACAAAATAAGGATTTGTGCAGGAGTTTGAAAGCAGAACATTATTTTAGAAAGCATGTTGACTAGAAGGTTGAGTAAAAAAAAACAGAAGTGCCGACTCTATTTTGTATTTTTCATTATGTATTTTTATTTATTTGTCCAAAATATTTGGAAAGTTAATGTATAAACAGCTTTTATACATTAACGTAGGGAAATGTATGAAATTTCACTAAAGGCGTAAAATCCCCAAAAAGCAGCATGTTTACCACTCCAACAAACAGTATGAGAGTGGAAGATCCGGACAACTAATTTATGCATGATATCCAACCCCCTAAATATAGCCCCTTTACACAAGGGAGGGAGCAAAGCATTTGCAAAGAATTATAGACATGTTGTACTAACGTCCCACATAATAAAAGTACTGTATTTAAGAGAGTGATCAGGAGTCAGGTCACCAGTCTCATGGAGACCAATGACCATCACAACCCAGGTCAACATGGATTTAGAGCAGGAAGATCATGCCTCTCACAGTTACTTGACCACTATGACAAAATCACTGAGGCATTGGGAGAAAAACAGAATGCAGATGTGGTATACACGGATTTTGCAAAGGCATTCGATAAATGTGACCATTGAGTGATAGCACACAAAAATAGGTCAATGGGAATGACCGGTGAAGTAGGATACTGGATACTCGATTTTCTGTCGAACAGAACAGAGTAACAGTCAACCATATAAAATTAAGTTCAAGCGCAGTTAAAAGCTCTGTACCTCAGGGTACAGTCCTTGCACCACTGCTTTTCCTTATTCTCATATTAAATATAGACTCAAATACAAGTCACAGCTTCATATCATCATTTGCAGATGACACAAAAATCAGCATGATAATTATCTCTGTTGACGACATTGAAAAACTACAAGCAGATATTAATAAAGTTTTCGATTGGGCAGCAGAAAATAACATTGTTTAACAATGATAAATTCCAGGTACTCAGGTACGGAAAAAATGAGGACCTTAATTAAACATAAAACAGGGCACAAAACACAATTAAATTTGCCCATAATAGAAAAACAGCTTGTAAAGGATTTGGGAATAATGATGTATGATGACCTAACGTTTAAGGAGCATAACCAAACAAATATTGCATCAGCCAGAAAAATGATAGGATTGATTACGAGAGCTTTCAAATCCAGGGATCCCATCACAATGGTTGTACCCTTCAAAACATTTGTGCTGTCCCGTCTTGAGTATTGGTCAGTACCCACTTCCCCCTTCAGAGGAGAGATTTCTGAAATAGAGGGAATACATAAACGCGATAAAGCACCTAAATTATTGGGATAGTCTCAAAGCTCTAAATGTACTCGCTAGAAAGAAGACGAGAGAGATATCAATAATATACACATGGAAAATACTGGAGGGCCAGATCCCAAATCCACACAGTAAAATAACAACATACTGTACTGGAGCGAACAATATGGAAGAAAATGCAGAATAGAACCAGTGAAGAGCAGGGGAGCTATAAACACATCAGAGAACACTGTATAAACATCAGAGGTCCACGGTTGTTCAACATCCTCCCAGAAAGTATAAGAAATATTCCCGGAATAACTGTGGACATCTTCAAGGGAAAACTAGATAGTTTTCTTCAAGAAGTGCCGAACCAACCAGGTTGTGATGGATATGTCGCCCTGCAGGCCACTCCAAGCAACAGCCTGTTAGACTAAGCTCTCTCACGTCAAGCTAGGCTCTTGGGAAGTAGAACTACGAGAACCCTATCACGCAGGTAGCAGGTACTTCTACCTAAACATAATATCTTGCCGATATAGCAACATATTATGTTAGGAGTAACTAAAACTCTTGCCAATATGGCTTCAGAACCCAAAAAAAAGCATCAATGATGGTCTCATTAATATGCTTGACTTTATGCATTCAACTCTTAAAAAAACTATAGGTTTATTTGTTTACCTGAACATACTATTGTAAGCTACTTATATGGTGAGCTAGTTTTATAATTTGATTTGCTTGTCATGAATGCCTCCCTCACAAACCCCCTATCAAGTGGACGGCAGCAGAAAGGTTACATACCCAGTGGTGTGTATCATTATATCAGCATAGCTAATGATGTGGATGTTGGGTTTGCTCGGTACAGAGTTTAACAGCGTGTTTATTAAGATATTAAATAAGATAGGACTGAGGACATCTCCCTGCGGGGTACCTAGTTCGAAGTCTCTTGTTACACTCCTATGCCCCTGGAACAATACAGATGACTTCCTGTTGGATAAGTAACCCCTGATACAACAAAGAAGCCGACCACCGATATTCATTCTCGCAAGCTCACTTAAAATAACATGTGGGTTTGCAATATCAAAGGCAAACTTGAGATCTAATTTAGTTTAGTTTATTTATTATGCACCCCATACCCATCTTGTGGGCGGTAGTGGAAAGGGTTACATAGGCACATAATGGGCTCAAGGACTGAACCCCACAATTCATTTAGCTAAGCAAGTTACAATCTTGATGAGCTAGTTACAAAATTCAATGCACATCGTCACATCAGCAATGGACTCGAGATCGACCACAAGTACAGTTTGTAGCGAATATAAACAATATATTCGCTCCAAACTCCTTAGCACTGATTATGAAACTCAAATATTTTCCCTAATAACAGTTAACATTCCTTCCAACCTATTGGAGGACGAGAAGATAAGGTGTAGTCCAATCATATAAGCAATCGAGAAGCGAGTAACCATCGAGAGGTCACGACCTGTCCGTAGGGTGCAGTCGCACCTCCACAGATCTCCAGTATCAGCTAATGATACCGGTAAGGGCTCCAAAGGGCCACCACTTACGGGCTATTCATACCCGTGCCACCTTTTGGGTGGCTTAATCTTCATCAATCGTCAATCGTGTAACCATCAGTATAATTTCCACAGTGATTCAGTTAACTTCAGTAGACGCTTGGGAGTTACCACACCTCTTCACCCTCAAGAATGTAGCAGTCGGTGTGTACAGTTCCAACCAACCCCAAGACGCTACAGCTTCCACACAGAGCAGATAGACCGCGTCAAGCTACCACGCTCTCGCTCCCACATTCAGCATAGACACTCACCATCCTGCAATATTTCATTCAAAATGATCTGCTACCAGAAATTTTAGCCAAATATCCTCAGTTTGCTAACTGTAGGTAGTAACTAAGTGATTGTAGCCAATCCACCTCTGCCCACTGGATGGGGGGCGGTGTGCAGGACAAACATATTGTGACACTAGCTCTCCACATGTCAGTTGTTTAATTTATAAACTGTACTTGTGGTCGATCTCGAACCCATTGTTGATGTGACGACTTATATTGGATTTTGCAACTAGCTCATCAAGATTGTAACTTGCTTAGCTAAATGAATTGTGAGGATCAGACGTCCCTGAGCCCATTATGTGCCTCTGTAACCCTTTCCACTACCGCCCACTAGATGGGTATGGGGTGCATAATAAATGAAGTAAACTAAAAAAACCCATCCCGCACCGAGCCGCCACGCTCTCCCACATAGAGCTCCGCGACTCCGGCCACACTCGGCTGTGCTCTGCTCCAAGCTCCGTCTCAACGTCTATGACACTGCTGTATCCAGGACTACTAAATAAATATGAAACTCGCTAAACACTGTGTATCTAAT